GAACAGCACCACTGATCCTAACTGGGACCTCTGGTTGCTGCTTTAATAAAATTATTCAGTAGTAATTATTCTTTTCCTTTCTCAATCAATCATAATAGCAAAACTGAAGCAGGGATCAGAAAAAACAAATGGTACACCATAGGGATCAGTATTGTTCTTTTCACTATTTTCATTAATGATATATAGGGGATATGAGTTCAGCATTGATCAAACTTACAGGTGGTGATAATGATCATGTGGCTAGCAAATGCAAAAGAGAACAGAACTAAGTTGCACTATAGCTGTCATTATTTACTTAAATAGTAAACTCTTTGAGGCAGAGACTTTCTAGTTGTTTGTACAGTGTCTAGCACACAGTGTTGCAGCAATTTACTACTACTAATGTAATCTTGAAGCAAAACAGTGGGCTATAAGTAGTGAGATGATACTGACTATTAAACAGACCCTGTGCCCTGCAGTTCTGTGGCTGCATAATTAATCCCTTGTACAGCACTGTTTTCCAGATCAAAGCTTTTAAAAGGGTAGTTTCTAGCCCTTATGTGTAATAATGTAATGTCTTCCTGAGTCTGCAGATGCTCTGAAAGATGTGAACTGCCTCATTCATCTCAATGACTTGTTCTGAAATCTAAAGATGACAGTTTCATTCTCAGCATTACATACGATGCTGCCAATCATTTTAGCAGAAACATCCAGCCATCCTACTTCCTTCATCATACTAAACTGACTCTCTGCATCCTAGGGGCAAAAAGCCCAAAATATTCCCCTTCTCTGCTACCAAAAGCTTGAGCTTTCCCCTCACCCAACAGTTTTATTTGAGGTAGTTAGGCATCTTCAGCATGCCTCAGATTTTTATATTGAAAAGGAGAATAGTTCGCATAAAATAGAATATCAAATAACTTGGGCCACTCTACTGATCATACTCATTTTTATATTTTAATTAAAACTTCCAAAGCTGTATATACAGGAACGTTGTTGAAGTATTTAGGTGTAGCTTGCTGTGAAGTATTTGAGGCCTTGCTAGTAAGTCCCTCATTCACTTAGGAGAGGAAATAGATAGCAGATACAACTATAGGAGACAGCTGTTAGGAAATCCGAGTAGGAAGTGATGACAGATTGCAAACTAAACAAGAGATTTCTAGTAGTGCTAGTGCACAGTGATTATAAAGGGTGATAGATTGGACCTAAAAATTAGGGAAGTGAGACATCTCCTCTATGTATCCTTGTTTCCACTACAAGTGAAATATCTTATGAAGATTTAGTCATCTTCTAGTAAAGTGCAGTGAAGAGCCCAGGGAAGGTTCCCTGGCGCTGGAGCATGGGCTCTAGTGTTGCCGATATTCACATAGTAAACTTGTGAACAGATTTTTGGATGTAGCACCTGTAAAGTTTTAAGTCCTGGAGATGTGGTGACTTTTCGTTGAAGCATGCATAAGGGAGTTGTGCTGCTCCTCATCACATTTGATGGTGCCAGTAGGAACATTAAATGATTGAAAAAAGGGTCTGAGAATGTGCCTTTGTCTAGGATTGTTCATGGCCATATTATTTACAACTTTTTGCAATCAACCCTTTCTTCCTCACGTCACACATTGGACCAGTGCAACTGTTCTAATTTTTTATACATATCAGAATTACATGTGGGAGATGATGCACCAGCACAGTACTAAAGCCTCATGGTTCTTCATGTCTACGCTGGCACTGATCGTGCTGCCTCTAGGAATTGCTGTGGTGATGAAGTAGCAACATGTTACCTGTAAAACAGCAGGAATAGGAGTTAATTTTGTACATTCTTCTATGTAAACTATAGATTAAATTATAGTGACCAAAATAAACAGATGGTTTGAACTCTTGCAATCCTCCAAATTTTCACCAGGATTCCTGGAATGTTACACTACCAAAATAACATGTTTTTAGAGTCCTAGGAATAAATTATACCTATTGAATATGTAAATATTTAAAGGAATCCTGTTAACTTTTGAAAAATGACATGCGTGTTAAAACTATGTCAGGTGGCACACCTGCATTGGAGCCTGCATTGCTTTTGTGGTTTTACCATCATGTTTTTAATGTCTTTCCCTCACTGATAGTTGGAGGGCAGGGGGCACACAAGTGGGAGAAATTGTCTGTATAGGGGAAAGTGAAACTGACCAATGTGCTCACACATGCTTAACATGAATGAATTTATATATTTATGTATATTTTTATTAGGGCTGTTATATTTTTAAAATATCACAATTAATTGCAAGATTTTAAAAAGTCATGATTATTCAGTTTTAATTGCACTGTTAAATAATAGAATACCAATTTAAATTTATTATAAATATTTTTGGATGTTTTTCTACATTTTGAAATGCATTGATTTCAGTTACACAGAATACGAAGTGTACAGTGCTTGCTTTATATTTTTATTACAAATATTTGCACGGTAAAAAGATAAAAGAAATAGTATTTTTCAGTTCACCTCCTACAAGTATTAGTGCAATCTCTTTATCATGAAAGTGCGACTTACAGATGTAGAATTATTTTTTACATAACTGCTCTCAGAAACAAAACAATGTAAAACTTTAGAGCCTACAAGTCCACCTAGTCCTACTTCTTGTTCAGCCAATTGCCAAGACAAACAAGTTTACATTACACTAATTCTGCCTGTTTCTTATTTACAATGTCAACTTGAAAGTGAGAACAGGTGGGTTCTGCTTGATAACAATCCAAAGCAGTGTGGACTGAAGGACCTTCATTTCATCATCTGAGTCAGATGCCACCAAGAGAAGGTTGATTTTCTTTTTGGTGTTTCGGATTCTGTAGTTTCCGCATCGGAGTGTTGCTCTTTTAAGACTTTTGACAACACCTATTTTCAGAAATCTCATATTGGTACCTTCTTTGCATATTGTCAGATCTGCAGTGAAAGTGTTCTTAAATCTACAATATATGCTGGGTCATCATCCAAGACTGCTATAACATGAAATCTATGGCAAAATGCGGGCAAAACCAAGGAGCAGGAGGCATACAATTCTCCCCCAAGGAGTTCAGTCACAAATTTAATTAATGCATTTTTTTTTTTTAGAGTATCATCAGCATGGAAGCATTTCCTCTGGTATGGTGGTCAAATCATGAAGAGGCATATGATTGTTTAACATACCTGGCATGAAAATACCTTACAATGCAGGCTATGCAGGCTACAACAGTGCAAATATTTGTAATCAACAATATTATAAAGTGAGCATTGTACACTTTGTATTCTGTGTTGTAATTAGTCAATATATTTGAAAATGTAGGAAAAAATCCAAAAATATTTATAGTAGAACCTCAGTGTTACGAACATACCTCATTTGGAACCGGAAGTATGCAATAAGGCAGCAGCAGAGACCTTTTCTTCCCCCTGTCCTCCCCCCAAAAAGCAAATACAGTACAGAACTGTGTTGATCAGAAACTGTCAAACTCTTAAAACTTTCCCTTTTTTTAGTAAAGTAAGGAAACTTTGTGCTTCTTTCATTTAAATTAAGATAGTTAAAAACAGCATTTTTCTTCTGCCTAGTAAAGTTTCAAAGCTGTGTTAAGTCAGTGTTCAGTTGTGAACTTTTGAAAGGACAAACATGACGTGGTGTTCAAAGTTACAAACATTTCAGAGTTATGAATAGTGACTTTCTGTGACTTCTGCAGTGGTCAGTGTGGCTGACCCCAGAGCCGCCCAAGCAGCTGACCCTGGAGTGAGTTGCTTAGGAGGCCCTGGGGACAGCCACATCAGCCACTTGGGCGGCCCCTCAGCCAGCTGCTGCAGGAATGGCCCCGGCACCAGCCGCATCGGCCGCTGCTCTGGAGCCCGGGGCTCCCTTCCCCTCCCCTCCTTCCCGTAAGATTCAATCAGTGGGGTTTATGGTATAAGTCATGGACAGGTCACGGGCCGTGACTTTTTGTTTCTTGCCTATGATCTGTTCGTGACTTTTACTAAAAATACCCATGATTAAATCATAGCCTTAGTTATGAACAACCTCCATTCCTGAGCTGTTCGTAACTCTTGAGGTTCTACCATATAATACATTGACATTGGTATTCTGTTTAACCGTTAGATTAAAACTGTAATCGTGAGCTTTTTTTAATCTAGTTAATTTGTTTTCGTTAATTGAGTTAACTGTCATTTATTGATAGCCTAAAATATAGTTAGACATCATAATCTTGGATGTCTCTTTAAAGCATAATGTGAATGATGGGCCACTGGATGAAGCATGTTACAAAAACAATCTGCTGTCTGATACAATGTAAATTAAATGCTGATTTTCTTCAGACTTTCTTCATAACTATCTTTGGCCTGGTCTACGCCTAAAACCTAGGTGGACCTAGCTACGTTGTGTCGGGGGGAGAGAATGGAGGGGGGGGGATTCATATCCAAGAGATGTAGTTAAGCCCCAGAATTTTTCCTTCAACCTAGCTATTGCCTCAGAGAGGTGGATTAACTATGGTGACAGAAGACCTCCTTCCATTGCTGAAGTAAATGTCTATACTACAATGCTGCAGCACTGTCTGTGCTGCCGTAGTTCAGACATAGCCTTAGAGTTCTAGGTGTTCAGCATTAAGTGCAGCTTTCATATAATGAAAAGCAGATATGTATACAGTGTCACTGATGGGATTTTAAATACATTTGTAAGGATGAAAGTGGATAACATGCACTTAGATGTCACAAGGAGTATTCCTGATAACATTCTGCTAGACAACTAGATACATATTCGGACTATTACAGTAGGGTGACTCAAAACTGATCAGACTTCTTGCTTCTGCTCTTGATTTTGGCGTTTTAAGATGCTCCCCCTGAAAAGCTCCTCTAAGCTTTTAGTTTATTTGGAAGTTGTGTGTTGTCCCAAACTTATAGACAGTGCAACTCTTTCCAGCCTGGATGATACCTCCTGTGCATAAGTGTGCCCTTGTTACCTGTGTTCAAGAATTGTCCTTAACATTTCCGCACTGTTGCCTTACCTTCATGTGCAAACTAACAAAACCTATTTTTATAGGAACCTCCAGAAGTTAAGTCTTTTTGGGGATATAAGCATTCTGCAGCAACATGGAAGTATATCGAATACATACCTCGGCAAGGTGGACCCAGATGGCAAAAAGATTAAGCAGTAAGTTCTTCTGTACACACTAGAAAAAATATCATGCTGGTTCAAAGAACTGATAATGAGAATGCAGGATATTAGGTTTAAAAAGCTCCAGCTTGGTAGTGAGATTTCATCTGGTTTCCGTTTTTGTGTTATCTGATGGTCATTGGGTGACATATATGAGAAGAGTTGATCTTGGTTAAGCTCCTAGCGTCTGTGTCACAAACCATCTTCAGTTGTCACATTTTTGGTAGTCTCTGCAGACAATGCATGAAGACACAATACTTTCACTCTTGCCAAGTGATGACTCTAAAACAGAATGCAGTGGTATTGGGGCCAGGGAGAGAGGAGCAGGGTTTCATTGGCACTGTATGTACTGTTGCTGTTCTGAGACTGAGTGGAAACCTGCACTAGGAATTGAAGTCACCTGACAAATTAAACACACACATACAAGAAAAATGAATTTTAGGGAACAAGTGACTTTGAATAAGGTCGTGAGTGAACTCTAAGTAAGGATTTATCATAAGACTCCATGCCTGTTTAAAATGAGAATTACTTATTTGCAGAATAATTCCCACGGCATGTCCATATAGGAAAGCTATATTGGTATAAGCTAAGGGGTGAACTTAAACAATGTGGACACTCTTTTTGCAGAATCAGAGTGGCTTTTTCTTTTTTTTTTTTTTAGTGTTGCCAGATAGCTTAAAAAGTAAACGTTGATTTTTTTTATCTTAATCTATTTAAATTTTCACAATTGTGGGAAATTGTGGGGGGTGGGGTTCAGACAATATTTGTTTAATGACAGTAGACATTGAGATTCAAAAAGTTAAAACTTTATAACTGTTAAAATACAAATTGTCAACATGACATGTCAAAATCTACAAAGTAAATATGCTTAAATCAACCTGTGTGTTCTCAAGTAGCATTTTTCTTTCTTTGCCTATCTGTACATTTTTATGATCGATAGAAATATATTTTTGTCAGCTTGTGTGTATACTAAAATCGATGTCAGTCCACAAGCAGGCTTGGGAGGATTAGAATTTTTATGCCCTTTTGGAAGTGTGTAAACTAAAAAGCCATTCTTATTCTGGAACTAATGTCCACACAGTGGGTTTTGCTGGTATAACTGTAAAACTTGCCAGTGTAGACAAGCCTTGAGTGCCATAGTTTTAATCTACATTGCCGGGGGGTGAGGGGGGGGAATCTGCTTATCCCAATATTCTAGGAGGGGAATGGGTACCCTTTCCTCTTCCATGTGCTTACAGCTGAAGTAGCTCTGGAACTATCCTAGATATCCACAGATGGATTAATATGTACATGAACATTGAACTCTCTAATGCGTAGGTCCTGACTTTAATTTACAACGTGGTGGAAATTCAGATATGTATTTCCTACTGTGTCTGTTACCCTGTTGTGCTTATGTAATGCAGAAATTGAGATCAATGGGAAATATTATGTGACATTCATACTGTATTGCGGTACCAAGGCACAATTTATAGATATCAGAGTAAAAGCTTTTACTCTGGTTGTGGTGGTGGTTATTTTTTAATAATATGCTTAGTGCTCTTCCTACTATGATGATTTGTTGAATGTAGCACGGTTCTATAGTGCACATAGGTTTTTTTTTATGCTCTATATTTGCAGTTCACTGTTTTAAATATAACTATACTACTTTTCTCTTTACAAATACATTTTCTTTAACCATTGCTATGGAGAAGTTCAATACATCATGTAAATGCAGTACATTGTGCAGTTACAGAAAATATGTTCCACCATTGAATTAAATGTAACTATTTTAAAACTCTTATGCCTGAGATGTTACTTTGTCATCTAACAGTTGTTAATTAATCTTAATTTTTCTAAAAATACCAATTGAGCCATTTTAAATAAGTGAATTTAGTGCTTATGAATGATGCTGGATTGACACTGCATTATCCAATAAACAGAAACCGTATGGACAGCAGTATTGTATTTGCATCCTGCATAGTCCTACCAGTGTGACTCAATCCTGACTCAGGACCATTTTCAACGGGGTGAAAATACGAGTTCAGTCTCTGTCTATTCCGTCTTTGGCTTTTCTTCTGACGCTCTCAACAAGGATGCCACTTAGTGCTAATTGTGGGTGGCTTTTCAATGGACTGGTAGCCATAGAAAACTGGACTGACTGCTAACTCACTATCTTGTGTAGATTATTGAACAACTTTCAGAAACATTTAGTTACTATTGTTCTGAGACTATGTATTAAGATAGAAGTAGGGCTTATTCATCAGAAAAGTGTAGACAATTGAAATTAAAACATCCAGTCTGAAAATAAGATGATGAAATTAATAGAAATTGGTACCTATGTAGTTAAACTTGTAGAACATAGCTTGAACTGTTAAATTCATGTGCTCTCCAAGTTTAGAGGTGCCATATTCAGTTAAAGGACTTCCTGGAAGTGCATTGTTAAAATTAATGGCAATGTAGTTGGATGATAACTTCATTGTGCTTCCTATTGGGCCTCATTTTTATTAGCCCAATATATGGTTATTGTTTAACATAAAATACCCTCAGTTGAGTTGTTTAAATATTTGAGACGTAGTTAGGTTAAAATAGGGTGGGTGGGACTAGAAGGGTTGGCTCAACATTAGATAGCTAGAAAAATTTAGATGAAGTGGCTGTATAGTTTTTTGGTGGACATATGGATGGCTAGTCTTGCGGCCAGAATCTAATTAGGCTTAAATTCAGGGATTTGTGTACTATTACCACGGAAAACTGCTGTACACTTGAGTTTCTAAATGTTCAGCATCCCTGCTTTAATTGGAAGCTTACTTCTAGTACAGAACAGTATTAGAAGCTACAACTGTGCAATTGTGGTTAATCCAATACAGTTTACAGTAATCAAAAGCAAAATGCTCAAATAGTTTAAAATACTATGTTGTTTTAAGATTAAACATACATCTAGTCATTAGAGAAGCACAACTTAAATTATTAGGCATCAAATTGAGAGAACTGTACAAGAAAACTTTTAGGCATATACAGTAATACCACATTGAACATGCACACATTTCAAATTTACTGTTCATAATTATTGCAGAAGGAAGACTTATAAAATTAATTTAAAATATTAGATGTGTATTAATGACTATATACAATATTGCAAGATATGATGAGCTTACCATTTTAGCCCTTATTAAAGATATACATGCACATAGGCAATTTTTTTATTTTTTATTTTCTTCTGAGATTAGATGCCCTTTACATAATGTTCTTTACTGCCTGTGTGCTTGTTTGTATACACAGTGTATACTCTGTAGAAATTTAGCTCAGAACCACTTGATTTTTGGCATAATTATCTTTAATTTTGTGTTACAGATCTTTGCATTGCATTGCATTCCTTGATGCCTTTAAACAGGAACATATTTAACCTGACCCAGCTCCCCTGTTGCAAATACTATATTTTTCCTTCTTAAGTGACAAGTGCTATAGACTGCACATGAAGGTGTATATGCATGTATATTAGAACACATACTGTGACTGTGTGCTCAGAAGAGCATTTGTCAGTGGTGAGGAAGAGAAAAATCCAGCTGGATTTTAGCAGCTGTGGGGGACGTGATCAAAGAATTTATTTAGAGCTAGTCCAGAGCATTTAGCTACACTGCTGAAGTTGTGTGATTCACAATTGTACGTTCAAATCAAATTCCTTCCTCTCTTAGGTATGGTATGTGAACTGAATATATAACTTAAAGATCTGTTCATAAAATGTTACAGGGATGGGACAGATGGTCAGGATAGATGCAGGATACTCCTCCTGTGTGGTGAGTGTGGGCCACTTTTTTTTTTCTCCAAAAAGGCACATCAATCGGATACTTGGATATCTAATTTTAAAATATTGCCGGGCCCAAATCATGCTCATCCCAACTTAAACTCTTATAATTGCTGGTAATTGTAGGAATGATCCAGTATGCACACATGAAAATATTTTAAGAACCTCACTATTATATGCATTTGAGAGAGGTGTAATGAATGTGGTCAGCTAACCAGTTTCAAATATTTCAAAACCAAATTTCTCCAAATCTGGCAAAAAGCATTAATGTGCTTTAGGGCTATATACTGTACATACCAAGCTTGCTGTTGGGCTGGGTGGGGCAGGGACTGCATTAGAGGTGTCAGAGCATGAGGCATCAGAGGCTTTTTAAAGTAGTAGTTACTCATATCTGTATAACCCCAAAATGGCTGAATGGATTCCCTTAAACTTTTGTTTTAAAAAAGTTTGGTGCTGAGAAATATGGGATACTTACCTTCAAAGGGCAACATTTTCCACAAGAGCAATCAATACATATATTCCCTTCCCAAGATAAATCACAATTGTGGCATCATTTGACTTTGGTAGAAGTTAAAGTAGTTTAGAGCCTGATTTTGCAGGTGCCGTACATACAGAACTTTCACTGACTACTCAAGGAGGTCTTCACATAGCTCAGCTACAGAATCGCATCCTAACTGGAAGAGAAGAGTCTTTCTTGAATAAATATAGAATGCTATGCAGTTGTATTATCACATTGAGCCCTATTTAATGGGGTCATTGTTGCTTATGTTTTTCTTGCAGAATACAACAGCTATTTGAAGAAATATTGGGCAATAGCAGGCAATTGAAGTGGCTGTCTTGTGGGTTTATGCTGCAAATAGTCACTCCCACATCATTGTCATCTTTGTCAAACCCCATTGCCAACACCATGGAACACCTGAGTTTGCTGGACAACCACATCCCTGGTAATACCACTCTTATCACTGCAGTTGAATTGGAGCGCTTTGTGAATCTGCGCTCACTCGCCTTGGATTTCTGTGATTTTACAGCTGAAATGGCAAGAGTCCTGGCTGATAGTAACCATGTGCCTTTGCATCGACTCTCTCTTCTGGTCCACAAAATTTCCATAATGCACAAGTCCTTGGAAAACATGCCAGAAGATGAGAATTGGAAGGCACTGACACGCAACAGCACTAATCTTCGGGTCTATATTATGGCTTTTGATATCAAGAATGATGACATGCTAAGAATTCTTAAGCCCAGTATCCCACTAGAGAGGATTCACTTTGACAGCTACATCACTTGTGTTTCAGGGGCTGTTGTTGACCTCATATCCAGGCAGTATGACAAGTTTCTCACTCATTTTATATTAATGAATGATGTGATAGATATGTCTGGTTTCCCAGATCTTAGTGACAACCGTAATGAAGATCCACTGGTTTTGTTAGCGTGGAGGTGCACAAGGCTCTCTCTCCTAGCAGTTCATGGTAGGTAATTCTATGCCCAAACATAGTAAGTGACTTTGACTTTTTTTTTATGCTTTAGTCTTTTTTCTAAAAATCACAATCGTACACTTTGTATTAATAACATTAGTTACTGCCCTAAAAAATCCTGCAGGAGATGTTAATTGTAGAAGCTGTTTTATAAAGGTACTGAAAAAACGCATTCTCATACCATCAAACTTGAAAGTGTAAAGTCATTCCACATACTATAGTTACAGTTATTGCATAACAAATCACGTAACTAGTAAGTTACTGATTGTAAACAAATTTACCTATGCAACTCTGCTCTCGCTTGGAGTTTACTAGGTTGCTTGTGTAAATGAGGATGAGTGAGAATTTTTCTTCTAAGGGTCCAAAAAAAAAGGTGGTATATAATATTCTATGCTCGAGAGAGCTTATTTTGAGTGTGTGGAGGATCTTTATTACATTAAACTATGTATTATCCAGAGAGTATCTATGCTTGTGGATATGAGAATTGGAAATGTTTGCTGCTTACTATTAGTTCATTTTCCAGTGAGGTGTTATGTGATCTTACTTCCTGGTTGTAAATATGCATGGCCCACAATGAAGCTAGGGTGAAGAGATGTGTATTACCAATCTAGTGAGGATCTAGCAGCAGCTAACAGCCTGAAGTGTTGGCTGACAAAGTTTGGAATATATTCTCTCAGTTTGATCTATTTGCAGGAGGGAGAGTAGCATAAACTGCATTTCTCATCCCCTGAAATAGTTTTAGGTGAGTGCCTGGCCAAATGCCACCATACACTAGTCATAAATTGTCTGTACTAATATTTTATTACTGTAAACCTCTAATCCATTCTGAACTTAGGCTCAGAGAGAGAGGGACTTACTCTTATGTATTATCTGACTTCAACTAGTGACCTACAGCAGACAAAAGTAGGTAATATTCAATTAACAAATACAGGGAAATGAAATACTAATGTAACACTAGTCGTGTGGCTCTTCATATCTTATGTGGACCAGCCACAGGAGGTTTGAGTCTGCTGGTGCTTATAGGTAAGGGACTTCGGCCTCAATCCTGTGATCTGCTCTATAGGCGTGGACCCCTGCTGCTCCTTCAAACAGCTTGCTTTAGCTCAAGTAGCAGAGGGTCATGTTTTTAGCACCAAAGGGCATGGGTTCAAACGCCACTGTTTTCCCCAACGTGGGGGGGAGTCAGATACTTGCAAGAAAGAGTCTTCAGATGACAAACTTTAATTCTTTAAAAGACAGTAACTTAGTGTAACTTCTTATTGTCTATTAAGTGGGAGAAAAGACAGATGCCCAAATAGGTAAAATCAGATCTCAAGATGAAATACTTTCAGTTGTGCTTCTCGTAACTTGCCTAAATTGGGAAAATATGCTCTTTTTCTTCCTTATGCTACCAGGCTGCCTGGAAGTTATTTTGTCAGCTGGAATAAAAATAACATCTAAGTTCTGTGTTCACTTCCAAGTTCTTAAATATTTTAAGCTAACACTGCATTTTTGCTGTAACAGGTTCCAAATGCAGCAGTTTATCTTAAGAATCAATTTTAGGTTTTTCAGAAAAGGCTAAAATATTCATATTGGATGCTCTGTTCTCCATAATTTCTACTGCTTTTTAAGGAAGCATTGTTTTTATTGTTCTTATAAACAGGACAGCTTCTAAACTTTTTTACAATTCAGAAATCACAAGTTCTATCCTGTTAGGTCCTGATTGGCAGTAAAAAAACAAAACAAAACAAAAAAACCCACTTCTAAAGTTAACATTGAGACAATTTTTAAGGGAGTCTGACTTGTTGATAACTACATCTAATGTTGTAGCAGCTAGAGGAGAGGCAGGGGAAGAGAATTTTCTCTTGCATCCATTCCCTGTACTCTCAGAAGAAGTTAATGAAATCTATTTATACCTGTCCCCTCCTCTTGCAATTTGTCTAAGTACTTGTATGTAATAATTACCAACAAAAAAACACCCCTTTTAAGCTCAACACAGCAATTTGTTTTTTTAAAACAAAAACCAAACACCGGATTTTAGTGCCACCCACTAACAATTTAATCCCCTTCTATCTGATACCCTTTCCCCCAAAAAAGGCTGTAAACGGCCTTCGAGTCAGAATGAACTATTCTGTAGCTTAGCTGTGACAGCTCAGAGAATGGTAACTAGTCAGTTACTAGGATTTACTTGATCTGCATCTGTCTGACTGGCGGTTTGTCACTAGATCAGGTAAGGCTAAAAGAAATCTACCTCACTAGTGCCTCATGCAAAAGTGCTTTCTCATTGGGGCCTTAAGATTTTTTTCTGCTTTACAGAGAAACATCTGCTACCTACCTTAGAGTGAATCTTCCTGAAGCAATAAGAGTGAGGAAGTACCGAGGCAGTCTCTGGGGCTGAAAAGCAAGCCCACCTAGCTTGCATGAAAAGGAGGGAGAATCTTCCCTGTGGGGCAAAGGCACTCCCTGAGGCAGCCTTAGACTTTGGAGAAGAGATGCTTCAAGATTTCATGATGTAAGGGATCTCTACAAGCCCCCCCTTGTGAAGTGTTTGGTTGGATTGGGGTCCTTTCTGGCTCCTAAAATCTTACCAGAAGGATAGTCATTCCTTCCAGAAGTTAACATGAAAAGCTATAGGGATAGCCGCCTTAGTATTCAGAAGGCTAATCCAGGGAATAGCGTTCCTCCAAATCATGTACCTGAATCACCCTTGTTTGGCTGCCTCCTTTGTTCTTGTGAGTGTTCTTGTTCCTTCTCTCAGTAAGGACCTATTCATTCTGAATTATATAGTGGACTGGCTAAGCTCATTCAAGATTCTTCGGGAAAGTAGTACCTAAAAGTGGAGTTCTTGATTGGGTTTGGTATCCTACAGCCTTCTAGGCCTCCTGATGTTCCTTGTACATTGAGACTTCCAGCCCACTGTACTAGACAGGGGAAGTGAACATTACAAAGTTGCCTCTTGGAGTTCTTTGCTCTTTCATTAGGCATTACCACTGATCATATCAGCATCTGCATATGTCCTGTACTGCGGAGTGCTTTGAGCAGTGCTTCTGTGGGAAGTTTCAGGTGCAGCAGGTGAAAGATTCTCATTCCCCTTTCTTCATCATACTCGCTCATTTAATTCAGCCTCCACTGTCTTCTCTCCTCCCCATTGAGATGTTTTCTCATAGGTTGCCTGCTATACAGAATCCACTATCTACATTGAAGACCATTCCTGAGAGAGTCAAACCTGTTTGTTTTTACCAGATAACTTTCTGTGGCTTGGATGAGACTGTAGTTTCATCCGCTTTACTGGGCTTTCCAAGTCCAGACTTCAACAAGAGAATTTGCATCTTAGGTGGGAAGAAGAGTAAGCTTATAGCTACTTCATACTAGAAGGAAGAAACTGGAGAAGCAAAGGGGAGGGCACCCTAAAGAAGAAGAAAATTGTGCTTAGTGGTATCCGTGAGGTAGGAGGAACCCAGCATGTTTTCTCAGCCAACCTACAGAAAGCAAGTTCGCAAGTAATTGAGAATATAATTTGCCTTTTTCTTCACTTTCTGGGGGAAATAAAATATGAACTTCTAATAGGTAGCAAAGACAACTGAAATTAAATATGACAATTATAAAATTAAGATAATTTTGCAATTGAGTGAAAAAGTTTTCAGCATTAAAGGGACTTGATTTTCATGAAAAGTGCCATGATCTGTGAGGAAAGATCATAATCACTGCGAAAATGGAATCTGGTAATTGAAAATAGGTCTAACTGTAACACAGCAAAATCAAAGCTCTTCAGAATTCCTCTGTACTACAAACACAGTTTTAATGCAGTTCTTACACCTATACTTTCACTTAAGATGATTAATCATGCTCTCTTCCTTGCACATGACACCTATAAACTGTCAAGTAATTTAGGTCTAAAATATTTGGTTTGTCCCAGAGTCCATTCTTTATAGGGGGAGGGGGCAGATCCAACAAAGTTTGACGGGAGGGAGAACTACTTACAGTGTTTTGAATTTTTTTTCCTCTCTTGATAAGAATAAATTTGAGCCTTATGGCTTGTAACTTTTAAGAAATGCAGAAAAAAAGGTTGCCAAATGGAAAAGGGGCAAAATCAGTTGGGGAAAAGACATTCTAGTCAGGGTTCTCAAGTTTTAAACACTTTAATAAAGCAGTTCTGCAATGAAGTGACAGCTTTTTTTCCCCCACCCTCCCAGGTTACACAGTGTGGGCCCATAACCTCATTGCAATCGCTCGTCTTCGTGGCTCTGATTTGAAAGTGCTTGAAGTCACAGAAGAAAGCATTGATTTCGACCAAGGTGAACTGGCTGATCAGGATGTGGATCCAGTACATAACCTCATTGAGCAGGTATCCCTTGGATTGGGTCGACCTTGGCATGCAGTCATGGACCTAGAATTACTCAGTGTCTTCACCGAGCCAACTCGTCATTTTTATAGAGAGATGCAAAGCTTCAGTGAAGGCATTTAGCTCTTTTTTTTATTTACAATTCCTGTGGTTACATATGCAAGTAGGATCCTATTATGTTTTTCAGTAGTGTGAATTAACCCCTTTTGTGCTGTGTTTAATCAGTATTAGATATATAGAATTATATATGTGTATTCTACTTCTTGATCAAAGAACGTAGTCGGGTATTGGTTTAGAAGCTGAAAGTGGCAACGTTTAGGGCTTTCACGGTTAATGGACTTGTCTACCAAACCTTATAGAGATACAGCCGAAGGTTGTCTGAGGTTGCCGGCTAACTATATATTTTTTTACTGAGTAACTGCATCTTCTATTATTTTACTATTATGTCGGAGTTTAGTGCTCAGGAGCCAATTTTTAAATATCCATAGCCCAGTGGATTTGTATGCAATCATTGTCATATAATCTGGTAGTATGCTACTTATTAGGCTTTAAAAAATAGAAGAAAGAGAAGACTACCCAATGCCAGTTCACTGTAAACTTTCACTTTAATTTCACATGCAGTTTCTGAAGCATGAATTACTACTACTCTCTAAATTTTTTCTCATTTATTAAGCAGTGGTCTGTAGCACTGTGTAGCTTTTTTCAGTTACTCACCTGAATTTGCGAGCTCTTAGACTATAAATTGTAGGATTTCTGATCCTTCGTAAATTCGTCATAGCTTCTTATTCTCATGATCTGTCAGTTTCTCCATACGAGTTAGCTTTGGGCCCAGATTTAAAAGGAAATATAAGTTTACACATTCCGATGGGGTAAAACCATAACAATGAAGCTATAAATTTAAATGTACATTCTTGCAAACAAACATTAGTCGTGAAATCCCTAGCAACCAAGTCACTGGACTTTCTCTGTCAGCGCCTGTGTCAGCTGCCAAAGAATAGATTAAAAATGAAGTGCCCACATGCTGGCAGGGGCAGGCCAACTGTTGGTCTGCCAGATACTGCTAGATTGTAATATATAAGGTCGAATTTCGACCTGTGGTACACAGCTGTGCTGTGGCTCAGTCAGCAACCTCAGAACTCTTAAACAAACATGCACCTGTTTCACTGTGAATAGTGAATGTAAAGGAAGGAAAGGAAATAAATACAAAGCTTGTTCTATCACAGGTATGAGCTGCTATGATGCATGAAGAACATTCCATGAAGTATGTTTTAAAATCTTGTTATATCTGAGAGGCTTTAAAAGCCGATTTAACTGTTTCAGGGCAACCGCGGTACAGACGTGGTCTCTGTGAGACTTCCACCTGACCCCAGTTTTAAGTGGTACGAATGTTGTGCATTTAATGTTAAAGGACAGTCTGCAATAATTAAAGTAAGTGGCCAACGTGGGTGCCCAGCAGTGCTGAGACCTGGCTGCTATATTGTAAGCTTTGGAAAACACAATTTATGCAACAGATGTCCAGATATGATTCTATTTATGGAAAAAGTTTATATGTGTTTTACAAATGGTTTTACCATCTTATATTAAAATGACCTTTTGACAGGTGTGCGCTGTTTTGTCTCCAGTGAGCACATACCATGCGGATTTTATATGTACATCAGTAGAGTGAATCCACTGGCACAGTGTGTGTGTATATGCCAGATGTGGTGAGATTTTATCTTATAAATGTGATCAGACTAAAAAACTCCTGACAGAAAATGTAAGGAAACCAGCTGAATGTTTGAACTGATGACTGATGTTGTATGGTTTATGTTAAATGTATATTCTTTTAATCAATGAATAAAGCATTAAAAACTGATCATTGTAAAATATTTTATTGTATCAGCATGAGGATTTTTAGCATTAAGCTGCAGCAATCATTCATAAATTGTGTATAATTGTTAGTTCCCATTGTGTTGAAATGCAGCAAAGCTTAAAGTCTAAAGTAAATCATACAGTAAATTCTTAGTTGGCTGATATTTTGCAAAAATGTTGATAAAGTACTTAACAAAAATTAGACCAGCTAGCACAGACCGAATATTGCACATTTGATATGGCTTACTAGTCTGATACAGTAAATCGTAGATTGTAGAATATAGAAGACTGACTGAGAAATTCCTGCACCAGTTGCAACTGCTTAACTCAAAATCTAATGTGCTCTAGAAAACTGTAGTATTCATGTCAGTGTCCCACTATTAAATAGATTATGAATACCTACAATGCTTCAGTTTGACATTTTATCTATTTTTATCAATCTAATTACATATTGTGGATGAAAATTGCACGTTTGGTAAACTGGTATAAAGAACTGCCACACCATAGCAGTGACTAGCTCTGCCATGAGAACTGTCAAGTGGCTGTTTACAGTGTGCTTGTGTGCCAAATATTAGTTTAATCCTGATTATTGAAGATGAAAGTTTAGGATAACAAACTACTACTAATCATATAAACCATGCTGCTTACTAACATGTGTTACAGGGTCTCCTTAATTTCTTTTATTAAGTCTACAAAACAATCATTTAACCCATCCTCTTTTGAAAAGGAAAATTGCTTTAGGTGTGCGTAGTAGAGGTGAGAGGGGAAACAGAATTATAGCCTGTTTTATTACAGTAACCTCAGATGAAAGGCAGAAATGCACAAGTGTCATTATGACTCTGTTGTCTTTGAGCACTAGTATTGTGGGTTCAGATCCAGGACTCAGTTAGGGTGTAAGCCCAGTACTGCCTATAAAGCGGCTTGCAGTAGAAGGGGTGCTACCATTATTTAACTAAAATTTAAGGTTAAAGTCTCCAGTTGTCCAGGATGAAGCTAAGATCAAGTAGAACTTAATGAAGAGGATAAGTGTTCCTTTGCTTAAAAAACAAACAAAATCCCCAACCATGTTAATATCCAGTGTTTTGTGCGACTAGATTGTAAGCCCTAGAGAGAGGTGCTACTCTGCATCAAATTTGTTTGTTCTTAAAACTAGTGGCAAATATTGTTTCTCTTTCTAAACCATTCCTTTTGTTTGCTTTTAACCAATTTCCCAGACTTAAGGGTAAGAATGACCTAGAACAGCAGAACAAATGGTTCATTTTCTCGACTAATGCAAAGGAATGCATGTTCTTTCTCTTAACTATTGGAATCATAGAGATGTAGGACTGGAAAGAAGTCAAGTCCAGCCCCTTGTGCTGTGGCAGGACCAACTAAAACTAGACCATCCCTGACAGGTGTTTGTCCAACTTGTTTTAGAAGCTTCTAGTGGTGGGGACTCCAAGACACCCCCCCCCCGGAAGCCTATTCCAGAGCTTAACTACCCTTATAGTTAGAAAGTTTTCCCTAATATAGAACCTAAATCTCCCTTGCTGCAGATTAAGCCAGTTACTACTTGTCCTACCTTCTATAGACCTGGAAAACAATTGATGACCATCCTCTTTAACAGCCCTTAACATATTGGAAGACTATCAGGTTGCCCGTCAGTTCTCCAGTCCTCTAGGAGTTCTCAGACATCATTGCTACTGGCTCAGAGATTGCTTCAGCTAGTTCCTTAAGTACCCTACGATGAATTTCATCTTGCCCTGCTGATTTAAATGCATCTAATTTATCTAAATATTCTTTAACCTGTTCTTCCCCTACTTTGGCTTGTATTCCTTCCCCCTGGTTGTCAATAGTAATTGTGTTGAGTATCTTGTCATCCAGGCATTATTAACCTTTTTAGTGAAGACTAAAGCAAAATAGGAATTGAAGCACCTCTGCTTTCTTGATGTCATCAGTTATTAGCTCTCCTTCCCACCTACATAGAGGACCTGCACTTTCCTTGTCTTTCTCTTGATCTTCATGTATTTAAAGAATGAAGTCTCATTGCCTTTTATGTCCCTTTCCCAGTATAAAACTCATTTTGTGCCTTAGCCTTTCTGATTTTGTCCCTACATATTTGTGCTGTTCTTTTTGTACTCCTCCATATCAGTTTGACCATGTTTCCATTTTTGTATGTTTCCTTTTTGATTTTCAGGTTATTAAAGAGCTCCTGGTGGAGCCATGTTGGCCTCTTACTATTCTTCCTATCTTTCTTTTCCATGAGAATAGTTCAGTTTTGCCTTTTAATATTGTCTCCTTGGAAACTGCCAGCTCTCCTGAATTCCTTTTTCCCTTAGATGTTCTTCTCATGGGACTTTACCTACCAATTCTGTGTTTTTTAAAGGTTTGTACATAAATAGCTAGAATATTTAAACTTAAAATAATCATGTACAGTTGAAGTACATTTTGATAATGGATATCTACTTACACAATTGTATTTGAATTTTACAGATCTTCCTTTGTTTGATCAGTAATCATCGTTATTTAACCTCTGAACATGTGTGGAATGTTGCACCCTAGGGGAAACATGATTAGTCTGAACTGATATTGCAAATCTTAGATTCCTCCAAATTGGAAAATTCAATAAGGAATGTGGATAAAGTGTTATTAAAATACCTTGTAGTTTGGACAATGCTAGGGAAATATACATGATCTAGCTCTCCTAGTTTCCATAAGTGTAAATCAGAGTAATAGCTTCATATTTATAATCTAATAAACGGAGTGTGGGTATCAAAGTGGAAGAATTTGAATTTTTCTGTTTAAAAAACAAAAAAGGTTGAGCTACTATAAAATTAATTTGAAAATGTGTGCTATTGTAACTTTAGATTTAAATTTATAATGAACTAAACTATAAATGCTGGGTGGGGAGTTTAAAATGCCATTACTGGTGGGGTATCTTATCTGAACCTTACTAAAGAGTTAACTTTCCAAAAATCTTTTGCTTGTAAGCCTTTGATCCTGCAAACACTGATGCAGAACTTTGCTCTTATTGACTTCAGTGTATCCTTACATTTAAGCACAAAAAGTGTTTGCAGCATAGGGGCTAGAATTGTTTATTAAACTTTTTAGTATCATAAAAGCGGTCACTGAAAAATAAAATTGCTTCATTGTTAACCATGAAAAGTTTAGATGTTCAATACAGTTAGAACTCCCCCCCCCCCCCAAAAAAAAAACTACAGTAGGTGTATGGAGGAGCCTAAAGTTGTGCTATTAAGTTGTTTAGGTTTCAGAGTTTGAAAATCTTACCCGTGGGAGGATTGACTTCAAACCCTGATGGAGGAGCAAATAGGTTAGTGAAAACATTTCATCTTCCTTGACTCATGGCAGCTCATTGTATTGAAATGTGGGGGTGGTTGCAAATGTATCACAGGCTCTTTGCTCATCAGTTTTGTGTTTTGTATTCTCATAGTAAGGCTATTAATGGAGCCCTGGACTTGTCTGCCTTGCCATAGGTGAGTGTTTTAAGTGTGAAACTTCTCAGAAAATCTGTTCAGTAGAAACAGACTTTAAATAATGAGGAAACTAAAAAAGTGCAAAGTATCCTTTCCCAATTTAAGACTATAAAATGGGAAGAAAGTGAAGTACTAGAACTTGGAAATGTTATCTGATTTTTTTTTAAAAATCATGACTTCCCTCCCCCACTACCCCCTTGTAGAAAATATATTTCTACAGTCACAGAGGTTGCTAGGAATGGTATTGTAAGATAATAGTTTCATGATGGTAGAAAGTCCCACTAAGGATTTTGCAAAGGAGTGAGGTTTACCCAACATCTGTGCTCTAAGTTTGGGTCTCAAAGCTTTAGGAACTTCAGCTCAGTGGGGTTAGATTGGGCTCTAAAGTTCTCCAACCGAGTTAAAATGATTTTGCATTCTTCTACTGTGCAAAGTGTGGTGGTCACTAGTTAGCAGGTACTGATACCAAGTTTGCTGTAACAGAAATGTCCAGATAATTTGGATATGGACAATTCTCACTTCTCAGGAATATCTAAAATTAACCATGTGGCATTAATGTGTATGGTCTTCCCTTATACAAATCTGAGGTGATTTAAATTTGTTTCTAAAAAAGTTGCTGGTGTTGTGCAAGCAAAACTTTGGGGAAAATCTCTTTAAGTGGAAAAATACTTTTAATTTTCCCCTTTGTTCATCTTTATGGAATAGTCAAAAGCAGACTTGCTCTAGCAAGCTAGGACCAATTAAGTTAGCAGAAGCTATAGCCTCTGCGTGTGGCTTTGTATTTAACAATGGGTGTAAACTCAGATTCATTAGTTTTGATATAGTGTGCTTCTTTCTCCACTCCCCCCTCCCCCCCCCCGCCTTTGGTTTTATAGTACAGTAGAATCTGAGTTATGAACCCCTCGGGAATGGAGGTGGTTCATATGGTTCTTTCAAAAGTTTACAACTGAACATTGACTTAATGCAGCTTTGAAACTTGACTGTGCAGAAGAAAAATGCTGCTTTTTAACCGTCTTAATTTAAATGAAACAAGCACAGAAACAAGTTCTTTTTTTATTAGTTGAACACAGCTCTGTACTGTACTTGCTTTTTTTGTCTCTGCTGCCTGATTGTGTATTTCCAGCTCCAAATGAGGTGTATGGTTGACTGGTCAAATTCAGTTCATAACTGGGTGTTCATAATTCTGAGGTTCTACTGTAGAATGATAGCCAGTAATCACAGCTAGAACTCTGAAACTGATCAGGTAATAAAGGATAGACAAAATGGGGGCCTGTGAAGTTTTGGTGGAGGTGTTCTTGAGCATGCCCAAAAGTCATTTCTGTAGGACACCAGGCATTCTCAGAATTAACAAGAACTGAGTTCTAAAAAGTTTCAAATTCCAAAGTGGCATGTCCCTTTTCTAATGTACACTGCGAGAAACTGATTTTCTGAATGATTCCTGCATAAACCCTCCATGTGGTTAACTTCCAGATTAATAGTTTTTAGCAACTTAAATGCATTGAAGTCAGGATTGGATGCTTGGGGTGGAAGG